GCTGGTACGGGGAGAGTTGTTCTTCCCTTCTTCTCCTTTGAAGATTAGCCTTTTCCACATCACTGGGTTTTTATGTCCCCTTCCTCCCCCTGATTGTTTTTTTTCCTTCTCAAATTAATAAGTGACTCTGCCTTATTGGGGGCTCATGTGCTAACCTACTTGGAGCTCAGGTGTTAGGACTGTGTTTCATTTTTAATATTGTCAGGAGCCCAGTCGGGCGCGGTGGTATGCTCCTGTAGTCCCAGCTACATGGGTAGAAGAGGCAGGAAAATCACTGAGCCCAGGAGTTTGGGGCTGGCCTGGGTAACATAGTGAGACGTGTGCTTCCCCCGTCTCTTTAAAAAAAGCAAAAAATAAAACCAAAATATCCACTGGCCAAAAAGTCTGTTAGAGTGATATCTAAAAGGCAGCCTAATCTCTCCAAGTTTGAGTCTTGCATGGCTTCCTTTCCTGTTACCTTAATGTACTGTGGATAGTATTTATTATAGCATTTATGTTATCTATTTTTTGAGTAGTACTTAGTGATTTTAACTATTTTGGTTAAAGGTTTCCAAATCTTTTTTTTTTTTTTTGTCTTTTTGGGACTGGGTCTCACTCTGCAGTTCAGGCTGGCCTTGAGCTCACTTTGTAGCCCAAGCTGGCCTTGAACTTGTAGCACTCCTTCGACCTCAGCCTCCCGAGTGTTGGGATTACATGTGTGCAGCCACCACGCCCGGCTTTCCAAATCTTAGAGTTGCTTGCTTTGTTGCTTCTAACCTTCAGTTCTCTTAAAGCCATTAGTAAAAATAATAATTACTATCCTCAAGGGAAGGTTAATTCTAAATCTCTGTACCTGCTACCTGACTTTTAATATCTAATATTTAAGCACTAGGAAAAGGTAATATATATTTATTAGCTATGGAACTGAGGGGAAGTTTAACTCTGCCTCAGTTTTCTCAAAATAGGATTAAGAACTATTTCTTGGAGCCAGGTGTGGTGGCACACGGCTGTAATCCCAACACTCCCAGAGGCTGAGGCAGGAATCTGAGGCAGGAGGATCGAAGTGAGCTCAAGGTCAGCCTGAACTGCATAGTGAGACCCTGTCTCACAAAGACAAAAAAAAAAACAAAAAACAAAAAACTATTTCATGGGGAAATGTATCCAGATTAACTTAATTCACAGTCTGTCATGTCGACTGTATTCAAATGTTAACTATTATCAGTAATGATACAATGAAGATTTGAAAAAAGATTAAAGAATAGACATTATGTTCATTTAAATCTGTTATCATTTCTGGTGTTCTATAAAATTAAGAGTATTACCTGCTAGCATTTCTGATTTAGTTACTGTGGTTGGAGACAGCACAGATGTTCCTGAGTCCAGGGTACCAAGAATGACCAGGACTGGCCAGGTGTGTTGGCCCACACCTATAATCCCAGCACTTGGGAGGCTGAGGCAGGAGGATTGCTGAGAGTTCAAGACCAGCCTGAACTGCATAGCAAGACTGAGTCTCAAAAAGCAAAAAAAAAAAAAAAAAAAAAAAAAAAAAAAAAGAATGAGTAGGACTTACTTTGAGAGTCCATCAAATGTATGCTTCTGGCTTTATTCAGTAGAATCTAAATGCTGCTGTACCAGTAATCTAGTTCCGGCTTGCTATACCTCGCTGTCCATAATTCAGTTCTTGCCATTTTCACATGATGCTTGTAAGACTGGCAACAAATACCTCTGTCTTCATTTGCTACTGGCTTAGCAATAAGTTTCCATTTTAAACTGTAACTTTGATAACTGAAAACAATCCTGATCATTTTAAAGTAACAATGGGTGAGTGGTAAGGTACTCGTCTACTTCCGGTATTGAAAATCTACAAGTAAAAGGGCTGTGCATGCGTGTGTGTGCGCGCACGCGCGTGCGCGTGTGTGCGCACATGATGTATTCCAGTAAAAATGTTAAAATTGACAGTGACAATTATGCAAGAAATGAGCAGAGCGTGAAGGTTCAGTGCCCTCTTTATATGTATTGCAACACGGGAGGTACGTTCCAAATGACCCACTTAAAGTTTATGGCCCTGAGGTTTACAGGAATATCGCTTAGAGGGAGAGCACCTGCTTAGCATGCACGAGGCCCTGCGTCCAATCCCCAGTACCGGAAAATAAAATTTTAAAATAAAAATTGATGTGTTTAATGCGTTAGGTGGGGTTTCAGCGCCCTTTAGGAACCTGTGTTTTGATCTTAGCGTTCTGCTCTGTTAAAGTAAGAAGGCGATTTCAAGTAGCAGGTTCTTTTTCTTTTTTCTTTTTTTTTTTTTTTGGTACTGGGAATCAAACTCGGGACCTTGCACTTGCCAGGCAGGCGCTTGTGCCGCCAAGCTATATCCCCGGCCCTCAAGTAGCAGTTTCTTTAATTTTAAGTCCCTTTATTCCTTACACTTGTACTGACGTACATTGTTTTCCTTTTTAGACTATGTTAAAGAAAGTAATACATTTTCTACATCTCTGCAAAGATGTCCCAAACATAAAGGAAGCAGCGTATTTAACAAAAATGGGGGCCGCGGTCGGGACTGCTGAGCTGATTTGGCGTGGTGGCACACGCTTATCATCCCAGCACTTGGGAGGCTGAGGCAGGAGGATCGCTGTGAGTTTGAGGCCAGCCTGGGCTACGTAGGAAGACCTGTCTCAAAAACAGAGATAAATAAGGACTACTGAATTTTCAGAAGGTCATGAAAAGTATAAACTTAAAAAACTCCGTGTTGACGGAGGGCGGAAGACAGCGCAGACACACTTAGCTCAGCGACCAAGGACATGATGAGCTACATTCAGTCCCGTGGGTTTACTAAAACCTGAGGTCCATTTCCTTCCTTTTGATTGTTTTTCCTTTTCTTCTCTGAAGTTTTACCAAAAACCGGCTTATTAAAAATGAGGAAAAAAAAAAAAAAGAGGAAAAAAAAAATGAGGAAAAGTGGGAAGATTTTGAAAGCTTGAGTTTGGCTAAGATCTTGCTTTATATTTCTCTGCCTGCCCTGTCTTCAGGACCTTGTACTTGCCACACAGGCACTGTGCTGCTGAGCTGTATCCTCAGCCCTAAACTAGTATTTTTAAAGCTTGCTATGACGCAGGCTTGTGACGTTATTAGTACTATACAGAGGGCAGGGTAACACTTTGTTTACTGCCTGTGGCCTACAGGGAAGACAGGGCAGGCAGAGAAATATAAAGCAAGATCTTAGCCAAACTCAAGCTTTCAAAATCTTCCCACTTTTCCTCATTTTTTTTTTCCTCTTTTTTTTTTTTCCTCTTTTTTTTTTTCCTCATTTTTAATAAGCTGGTTTTTGGTAAAACTTCAGAGAAGAAAAGGAAAAACAATCAAAAGGAAGGAAATGGACCTCAGGTTTTAGTAAACCCACGGGACTGAATGTAGCTCATCATGTCCTTTGGTACCTTCGATTCCCGGTACCAAAAAAAAAAATTCGTTTCTTCCTGCAGCTCAAATATGTGTGCATATCTGCCTGATAATGCTTCAAAGTCATAGAGACCTTGAGTCGGCTCCCATACGGTACCTCTTTTAATAAAATGCATGGATGTTCGTGTAACCTCCAGTTCCGTCCCTCCAGTAGGGATGGTCCTACTGGATCCACGGAGTTGCGACTGCAGAGTGTGCTGTGCCACAAGGCCCTACTCAGCCTGCTCCCTCATCTCAGTCCCTTGTCCACACCCCAGTCTCACTTCCTCCTTCTCTCTTGTGCTCCTCTGGCCCTGCTGGCCTTCTTCCTGTTCTGCTGGAGCAGAGCTCCCACCCTCCTGTGGGCTTTTGCTTTTTCTGTTCTCTTTGCCCAGAGGTCTGCACAACTTGCTTCCTTTACTCAAGTTCTTGCTCAGATATAACCCTACCAGAAAGGGCTTTCCTGACATCCCAATTAAAGGAACAGTCTCACTGGGCCTGGTGGTGTACCCCTGGAATCCCAGCAATCAGGAGGCTGAGGCAGGAGGGTTGCTGTGAGTTTGAGGCCAGCCTGGGCTCACAAAATAAGTTCAAGGCTACTTCAATTACATAGCAAGACCTTGCCTCAAAAAGGGGTGGGGCATTCTCTTCCTTACCCAGTTTTGATTTTTCTTTTTAGACTGTTTGAACTTATACATATTATTTGTATCTGCCTACAAAGTCTCCAAAGTCTTTGATTTTTTTTGGGGGGGGTTGTCTTTTTTTGTCTCTTTTGAGACAGGGTCTTTCTGTGCAGTTCAGGCTGGCCTTGAGCTCACTTTGTAGCCCAGGCTGGTCTTGAATTCTCAACCATCCTCCTGTCTCAGCTTCCTGAGTGCTGGGATTATATGCATGCGCCATCACACCCGGCTCCACCCGGGTTAGTATATATTTTTTATTTATTTATTTATTTTTGTTTTATTCCAGTACCAGGAATCAAACTCATGACCTTGCACTTGCCTGCCAGGTGCTGTGCCACTGAGCTAAATCCCCAGCCCCTGGGGTTAGTATAAAGTATGAGATTATTGTGGCAGGTTCCTTTGAGAATAGGAACTTTAGCGCATGAAAAACATCAGCATATAATGGATACTAGAGGTTGATGTTTTGGTGGTTTTTTGAGACAGGATCTTGCTTTGTAGCACAGGCTGACCTTGAACTCACCATGTAGCCCAAGCTGGCTTCAAATTCACAGCGATCCTCCTGCCTCAGCTTCCTGAGTATTGGGATTACAGGTGTGTGCCACCACGCCTGGCAGGAGGTGCTAGATTTGTAACAGTAAGTTCCATTAAGAACAATATTTCGGAGCTGGGGATTTAGCTCAGCGGCAAAGCGCCTGCCTGGCAAGCGCAAGGTCATGAGTTCGGTTCCCGGTACCAGAGAAAAACCAAAACCAAAAAAAAAAAAGAACAATATTTCATTAATAAACTCGCCTCATAATTTCTCCTCACTAACAACTTCGGAAATTGCCATTTTGCTTAAGGATTGCTTAGACTTTATGGCAGATGAACAAACACAGATTCTTTATTTCTCCATGATTCTCCCCCATCTAGGTTTCAGTGTGGCCCAGAAGCCGTTTGGAGCCACGTACGTGTGGAGCAGCATCATCAACACCCTCCAGACACAAGTGGAGGTCAAAAGGCGAAGGCATCACTTAAAGCGCCACAACGACTGCTTCGTGGGTTCCGAGGCGGTGGATGTCATTTATTCGCACCTCATTCAGAATAAGTACTTCGGCGATGTCGATATTCCTCGGGCCAAAGTGGTGCGGGTGTGTCAGGCACTGATGGACTATAAAGTATTCGAAGCGGTTCCAACCAGAGTCTTCGGAAAAGACAAAAAACCTACATTTGAAGATAGTAGTTGCAGCTTGTATAGGTTCACCACAGTCCCTACCCAAGACGGTCAGCTAGGGAAAGAGAACAAGCTACGTTCCCCTTCCGGGTTAGTATATATTTTTTATTTATTCATTTATTTTTGTTTTATTCCGGTACCGGGAATTGAACTCATGACCTTGCACTTGCCAGCCAGGCGCTGTGCCACTGAGCTAAATCCCCAGCCCCCAGGTTAGTATAAAGTGTGAGATTATTGTGGGAGGTTGGGAGGATTTGTCTACTTTTTTAAGACACAGGCTGGCATTATATTCTCTATCTGTATATATGTATATATGTATGTGTGTGTATATTTATGTCTTGGTTACTTTTCTCTCGTTGCTGAGACAAAATACCCAATGCCCAAAATGAAGGAAGGAAAGGTTTATTTGGCTCACAGTTTG